CTTGTGGAATAAAATGCTTTAATAGTTACCATGAAGACAGACTATAGAGAGTTGTTATTCAAGATAGCAAATCTGACTTGAAACCTGTAATGGCTGGAGTCCCACAGAGGTCAGTTTTGGGGCCACTGCTTTTCCTTGTATACATTAATGATATCGTTGATGGCATTGATATTAATATTCGACTGTTTGTGGATGGTACGTCTGTATATGAAAATGAAGAAGATCCAGACACTACTGCGTATAATATTAATGCCGATTTAGAGAAAATTACCAATTGGGCAGATGAATGGCAAATAAAATTTAATACAGAGAAAACTGAAACTATTTAATTCTCGAGTAAACTCTGCCAAAGTGCAATACCTAGTCTTAAAAGAAATGAATTGTTATAAAAGAAGTACAAAATCATAAACATTTGGGATTAACATTCCAGTCAGGGCCCGGTTGTTCAAAATCTGGTTAACTATTAACCAGCCGTTAAGTCAGTGTTAACTCTCCGTTGAATTTTACCAAATGGTTATGTTGTTTCCCAAAGCATGGTTATCTTTAACGACTGGTTAAACACCTGTTAAAGTAAACACACCTCCCGACCTCCGTTAAATACTTAACACCTTGGTAATCTTTGAAACAAAATGGCGTACATGGTTAGGCCTAGCGCAGCTTTCATGGTTCCAGAGGTTAATGCGAGGCAACAGAAGTGATTCTGAGCTGTAACTTTTGCATTAATGAACTACACAGACAGTGAACTTCGTGATAGGTACAGATTTGGATGGGAATCTATCAACTACATCAACTTCCGCCAATATACTGAGGGAAGATTTGGAGCGCCCTACACAACGTAGCCATGCTCTTAACGTTGATCAACAACTGATGATAGCTTTCCGTTTTTACACATGGTAGTTTCCTTCAAGTGATTGGTGATACGATGGGGGTGGACAAAGTACAGTTTCACGTGTCATAGAAGATGTGACTGAAGCCTTGGTTAAAAGAAAGAACAAATTCATAAAATGGCCAACACATGAATGCTACAAACGTCAGGTTAAAGATGGATTTTTCGCCCTTGGTTGTTTTCCCAGTGTCCTAGGTTGCATTGATGGTACTCACATACGTATTCAGGCACCGACCAGAGATGAACCAGCTTACAAAATTCGGAAAGGATACCACAATATCAACGTACAGGCAGTGTGTATACATCTTGTAAGATTAGACTACTGTCCCTTTTTGCAATTAGAGTAGCTTCCCTTCCAAGGTCTATAAAATTCTGCATTAAAAAGATTTGGAATTAAATAAATAATGAAAGGTTTGCGTAAATGCTCTCATTACTCTTAATACAAATGGGATATTCTAGTCAGCGAACAAGGAATGTTTTTAAAGTTCTTTTCAGCTCTAAGCTGAAAATATAGCTGAAAGAAGTTTGTAATATATAATATATATGCCTATAATAGAAGTTCAATTAATCCATTACGAAGATTGCTTTTTATAAAAATTAATTGTCTAATTTGTAGGTAAATTTACGAATGTGTGTGCTGAATGGCCGGGATCAACTCATGATAGCCACATATTTAGAACTTCCACTTTGTGTGAATACTTAGAGAGATCGCACACTTCAATATCAGATGGCTTTCTATTGAGAGACAGTGGATATCCTTGCAGGCCTTTCCTCCAAACCCCATACATGACTCCACAAGGCAATGTTCAGCAGAGATGCAATGACAGCTTGTGTGCTACAAGAGTTAAAATAAAAAGAACATTTGGTCGATGGAAAAGACGGTTTCATGTACTTCATTCTGAGGTATATATGCATAGTATATTTGTGTACTTAATTTGATCAATGTTTTACTTTTCTACATCTAATCTTGATTTTTTTCATCACTTTAAGGTTTGGAGTCATGGTGTTGTGTGTTCCAATGCTTCACGTTTTACATTGATCACATAGCACAAACAAATAATATTACAAGAATCCTAACTAATGTAACCAATTACTAGTAATATTAATAATTCAAAGAAGCAAACAAGTTGCTTCTAAAATGTAGATTTTAATGTGACCTTCTGTATTTATGTATTTGACACAAACATTTCTTGTTTATTCAACAGATAAGGATGAGTCCACGCCGTGGGTGTCAGATTGTCCTTGCCTGTGCTGTCCTCCACAATGTATCCATATTACTGAATGAGCCATTACAAGATGACAACGACAACCCAGATGAACAGCCAACAGTGGACACATGGCGGATTGCATGATGGACGAGGCATTAGAGATCATATTGCCAATACGTTCTTCTCCAGCTAAAAAACTACACACAGAGGACACAAGAATTAAATATAGTGATAATGAAACTGCAGGTTTATTGCATCATAGAAAGTAACAGTTGAGATGGACTGAAATTGTCAATATCATCACGTTGCAGTATTTGCTCAAGGAGTTGAATTTGTAGCTTAAGTTTCTTTTTTTCCATTTCCTGTTTTTCTAGCTCTCCTGATAGAACTCTTTCCTGTAACTGAAGAAATGAGTTTTGTACTTTCTTTTCTGTAATTGAGTTGCCTGGCTGGACATCCGTCACCAAGTCTTGGTGCTGCTTCACTGTGCTCTGTTTCTTGGGAGTCCCTGACTTCAAAAACAGGGTAGAATAGGTTTTCAGCAACCCATGCTTGCCGTAAAAGGTGACTATGCTTGTCGTAAAAGGCGACTAACGGGATTGGGTGGTCAGGCTCGCTGACTTGGTTGTTGCATGTCATCGATCTCAATTGTGTGGATCGATGCTCATGATATCAGTCACTGGATTGTCTGGTCCAGACTCGATTATTTACAGACCGCCGTCATATAGCTGTAATTTTGCTGAGTGCGGTGTTAAACAACAAACCAACCAACCAACCTGACTTCAGGATTTTGTGATGTTGGGGTTGAGGTAGTAGCTGCTGAAGTAGGATCTGTGGCACTAGTTGGCAGCCCAGGATCAGCCACTGATGAAAGTTCAGCACAACCTGGAGGAGAAAATAATTATCAATATAAATATTTATGGTTTTGTACGTGTTTCTATTAGGGATTACGGCTTAAGAAAACTTATATACGGATCTACTCTTGTTTTAATCATTTATGATCAGAGAAAGACAATATACTATGAATGTTATTGGCTATTAATGTGTTGACTAACATCAACAGAATATTCACTTCATTGCAAATTCAGGAGACTGAAATTATCTTGACTGTGTCTTTATGTCTCTGACTATTCGTTTCGTCTTAATGTGTGTAACTGAATTATTCATTTCATTCTATTTTCATTAAAATCATTTTACTACGGCTTCACAATAATTTACCTTACTGACCTTGACCTCTACATATGGAGGAGCGGAAGCGTGCTCATAAATTATCTTTGTTTACAGATGAATTTGTGAAATATAAACGTGAACATGTCAGTTTTGGAATAGCATTACTTTACGTATTCACTGTTACAGCAGATATCGGCTCTTGCTAAATCAACAGGCTTTGGGTTCGATGTTGACACTACAGAAGAGAAATTGTGCCAGATTCCGTCGCCTGATGGAGGTTCACGAAATTGTGTTCAACAATCTTATATTTATTTCTCCGGTTTACAGCATCGTGGGCTGTGTTTATATGTTATTAATACTCGTGAATATCACGTGAATAGTAAAAGTTCATACAATGTTGGCTGCATTCTTCAGATATTGTAGAGATGGAAGACAAACACATTCTTTCGAAAAAGTTCGAGGTCATTTCTAAATATAGAAAAGGGATATTCCGTGTCAACATAAACAGTTGACTTTCAAACGTTTGAAAGTGAGTAGGCGGCTTAGTAAAATTCCATAGAAATACACTTATTTCAGCACATATTGTCAGCTTTTATAAAATATGTTACTATGAAAGCACTTACTTGGAAGAATTTCCGCATCTAAGCCCCTTGATATCCCGCTGAAACTTGCTGAATTTTGCATTATCTCAATAATTCGAGAAGTAGCCTGACTCGGTTTGGATTGTGGGGGTCCCCTCCGGTCTTCCTCTGTTGCAGCCTGTAGTCCGTGAAGGTTTCTCTCCATTTCGCTCCATTTCTCCTTCACCTCATCAACAGATCGAAGCGCTATGCCCTTCATGTTCACTGCCTTGGTGATAGCCATCAAACTAGCAGACTTCTTCTTATTGGTAACTTCACTGCTCAGTTTTTCATGAAGTATTTGTGAATTACTCTCCACCAATGACTGGATGATATTTTCTTCATCCACAGAAAAATTCCTTTTTCTTTTCTTTCTTATTTTCCTTGGAGTTTCCTCAGTCATCGACGCTGTTTCGGCCATTATACGATATGACACAGTGACAGAAGTACTAACGCTAGGAATTCTGGGATAATATTTAACCTAATCGGTGCTTAAACCAAGATGTTAAAATTTAACCTAATGGTTATCTATTGATCCTGCAAAAGTAATTTAACGGCTGGTTAACTAACGTGTGGTTAAATATTTAACGGTTGGTTAGGAGTTAACTAGGAGTTCTAGAACTAAAGCGCTCGGTTCAAAATTAAAATAAAGACGTATCTATTCTACAGTGGGACTACATTAAATTTCAAAACACAGAAGGTTTATCTCCTAAACAGCAAAATGACACTAGCAACTCTACTAAACCCCTTAAATGACTTACAAACCTATAAATACTAAGCATTTATCTAATCAAAACAGGCCAACTCGGCCAACAAACAAACAAAAAACTACAAAAAACACAACAAACAAGCTACCAATAAAGCATAAATCATATATCTATAAAAACACACAACCTCACAAACTCCTTTAGCTCCACCACCTTATTAGCATGGCATGTTTCCAAATTTCCGCCAAAATTAGTTAAGCGACCATAAAGCCCCTCCAGGGTGCCTTACCTTTCGGACATACCCTGCTTGACCACATCACTAAATGGCCTGGCGGGCATGTGCACAAAATACGCATATGTCGGAAAGCGCACTTTTAAAGTAAGTATGCTCATTATCATAGTGACATACCATATCAAACTTTGTAAAATCAATTCCAGAGACCACCGAGGAGAAATCCTTAAGTTGTGTCTGCACATCTGGTGTGAGTATGGTGAGACTGGACAGGTCCACATTGATTCCATTAAGTTGTCCATCTATGTCCAAACTCTGCAAATAGCAAACACATTGTTTAATTTAGCTGGAATGCTGTGATAATAACTGGTATCAACATATATTTTCCTTCAGATCTGTTCTTGATACATCAAGACGAGTGAAGAATCTGTATCTGAACTGTAAATAATCTGATTATAATAACTGATTGGCATTATGAGCATCAATCTACACAACTGGGATAAGATGACAATCATCAACTTAGTCAGCAAGCCTGACCACCCAATCCAGTTAGTTGCCTCGAACAGTAATCAAAAGTCAAGTTTTCTTGTATGCCGAAACTGTTCTTTTTGATTCCATTTTTTTTAATTGTCTTACCCCATGGATACAGAGTTTCCTGATTCACATTTTTATAAGTTCTGAAAAGTGAACATTATGTGAGAAATGTGGTTATGCGTCACTGTTATATATATATTATTACATACCTTATTAATGAGTAATTTGTTTGTAGAAGTTCTCATAAATTAAACTTATTTACAAAAGTGGTAAGAAGCTAGACATGTTGTTGGATTAAGATGGCGTCTCCGACATTGGCTTCTGTTTGCAAGAAGTGCATTCAGTTTATGAGGTGATGATCATACATCTCCAAAGTGTTCTTTTTTTGGCACTTGGAATACCTGAGAACAAAAACCTCTGCCAGTTGCCGAGTTGGCCGTGCATGAATTGCTTTTTTCTCAAGTAATGTCTGAATGGCTAAGTTCTCAGCCACCAACTTGGTCCCTTCCAGACGGAAACGACAACCCATGGGTCTGGATGCATGTGCCTTATGCTGGTGAAAGTGCAACTTGTATCCCACGTTAACAACCTTGAGTATCCAATGGTCAGATATGATGTGCTGCAAATTGTTGGCGTGGGCTCATAGACGTCCCTTACAAGTCCCAAGGTTTGTGTCAAGTTGAAATCTGGTAGACAAAGCCAAGTTGATGTGATTTGTTGATAGTGGTGTTTCCCCTTTCTAAGTGCTGCAGGGGTCTGTCATGTTCTTACCCCTCTCCAAGATCATGCAGGGTCTCCCAGCAAAACGCCACTGACACTGACACTTGATCATGTTTGCTTTGCTCACTCCGCCTTGGAGAGCATCCAATGGATGCAGGCAGATCTCTCTCTGCACAAGTTTGGATGTCTAGCCAGCTCCAACTAAGATGCCATTTGCTGGCTCAAGTTTGATCAAGTATATCTAGAGCCTATCAAGATGACATCAGCATGTACACAGCTGACATGCTGCAGAACCCCAAGACGTTTTTTAAAAAGTTAACCATGGATAACATCATCAGAAACAACAAATCAGCAAGTTTTACACTGGTATAACATATTATTGTGACAGAACGTATATATATACATCATAAAATACCAACATATCTAACATACCCAAAGTATTACATTAGTTTGTCTTTGGGGACGCATTGTAACCAAAAATGTCAGGTTCATATTTAAATTTTGCAGTTACTATTCAATGTCAAATGGTCAATGATGATTTGTCATTACTTTTACACCAGGGCTCTATAAGCGCCCCCTTTTTATCCCCCCCCGACGTATAATGACGGGGGGATATAGCCATCAGTATGTCCGTCTATCCGTCTGTCCATCTGTAATCATTGTTTGTCCGGAGCATATTTCTTAAACCGTACAACCTAGCTTCACAAATCTTGGTACACTTACCAATCAGGCTCAGTAGTAGTGCCTTTTGCTATTTAGAGATCTTTTGAATGTTTAATTTTTGTTGTTTCCATGGAAATATGATGAACTTAGGAAATTTGAGGGTAGTGCTCTTGTCCGGAGCATATTTCCTAAACCGTACAACCTAGCTTCCCAAAACTTGGTACACTTAACAATCAGGCTCAGTAGAAGTGCCTTTTGCTATTTAGAGATTTTTTGAATTTTATATAATTCTTGTGAATACCCTACCTCTATTACATCATTGCCATAAATTCCTGTTTATGCTGAGAACCACACTATAAATTTTTTATAAATTTTCAACAGACGTCCTCTTCACTGCCAACATATCTAATAGTTGTGAGGGAAACCCTATCCCTCGCCAGGGGCGCCACTGCGCATGCGCAAGTAGGGAATCTTTACACTTCTTTCCTGTGTCTAGATGACAACAAGGAAATATTTTCTTGCATACATCTATACACGTGACTGCTGTTCCACACTTACAAGCACACTAGATCTTCTCAAGCTTTACTAAAGACAAGCATTGAACAGTTCTACAAGCAGAGAACAGGGGTATAAGAAGGCTGAAAGATCTAGTAAGTAACTAGTTAGAGAACGTGTTGTGGGATGGGATCTTCATCTAAAAAACAGACACCGTCTGTTCAGGCTGTGGGCAACATCAAATCCCTGGTGACCCTCACCATAGATGACTATCATGCAAGAAAAGCAATTGCACGCAAAAATCAAGATGCAGTTATTGCGAACCTTTGTCGAAGGAGAAGTTTGAAAAACTTTCCAAGGCATGGCTCAACCATCCTGATTACAAAAAGAATACTACAGCATCAGCTAAATATTCTTCTGCTTCATGTAAAAAAGTGATTAAGTCCGCTGTGACTACAAAAGATAATCAGGTGGGTAACAAGCGAGTGTCGCGTGGGGACGCCGTCTCCCCCCATGAGGAGAAGAGATCTTGTCGAGTTCACGGAGAAAATAACAAATTCAATGTCTGCTATGATTCACAAATGTATGCAATCAATGTCTCAGGAAATCTCATATCTAAAAGAATCCGTCGCACAACCCCGGCATGGCCAAACAGGGATTGATCGCGAGATTCAAAAGAGATCTAAGGCTGAATATGGCAGAACACCCTCATACAGCAGACATGCGCAAGGTCACGCTGAATCAGATTATTATGAGGACAGTAAGAGAGTCATAAAAAGAGATCGAGAATCTCATAGATTACCTGCCTACCACACACACCATGGGGTAGATTGTGAATCACGGGCATCGCATCACAGTATGAACAGAAATACACACCAGTCACCCTCTAGCCACTATGATAGACAAAATGACAAAGCTCGTGCAAATCAGGATAGATTTCCTAAGCGTGCGCCATCTCATACTGCCACACAGTCCAGTTATATGGGCGGAGAAAGCGAGGGAGATGTTACGTCACAATCATACAGTTATAGAACATGTGATTCCCGCACTGCTAGCCGTGGTTCAGACGACCGGGATTATGTGACCCTCAGCCTTATGACCCACTCCCAGCGCAGCCTGAGTAGGGGGTGCAGATCTATAGCTAACACTGGTTCTTCATGTAATGGGGACTCTACTACGGAGGATAATTATAGACCAAATAATTATTCCATTAAAGATATCATTGCACAACTTTATAATCTAATGCCCGCCTTAAAACCAGATAACAAGGACAAAACGCCCGTTAAACCCTTGTTAGAACATGCTGGGTATGAAGAACCTGTCAGTAAGACTGAAGAATTCCATACTCTCCATATTCATTGAACGCTTCATCAGCACATAATGTTAGACTGGGTATGCCTGCCATTAATAAGAGTGCTTACAGGACACACAATGCCCCCTTCGCACAACAGCCGTGCATTGATAAAGATTTCTATGATCTGGTTAAGAAACCTAACACCAAAATGCACGTTGACATAGCCAAAATCAGGGACTTAGACTACATCAACAAACAGATGATTAATATCAGTTCATACATTAACTGGATTGCAGCTGGAGTTCGCCACGTCATACCCCTGAACAACCAGAGCGAAGGTCTACCCTTAGACACCCCCACTGAGATGACACTACAGCAGACCGGATTTATTCACAGCTCACTGGACCACATACTAAAGATGCAGGAAGATCTTCAATCAGCATAAGTTTGGATGTCAGCACAGTTCCTGCTCATGCAAAGAAAACATCTACTACAGCAAGTTCATCATATGATCCCAGAGCCATTAAGAAGATCCATGCTGTCACAGCCTATTACAGCGTCACAGATATTCAACGGAAGACTGAAGTCAGTGAAGGAAGCCATTGCATCGTCAAGTAGCCAGAAGTTTCAAGAATCCACGATCTTGTTGGCATCCAGGATACAGAGACGGCCTGCAGATATTCAGCATCAACAACAGAATCCTAGATCCCGTTATGTGAATCCTGGCCGGGATTCTTTTCGAGCCTCTACATGGAAGGACAGATCGTTTCAACCCAAGTATAGGAACTCCAAAGATGATCATACCACTTTGCAGAGAGGACGAAGCAGAGGCAGAGGCAGTCTCCGAAGGGGATGCCGCCGGAAATGACTCAACCAGAAACCTGCAGACCCCTTCAGATCCTACCGACATAGCCTGCCCAATGGACAACGATTTAGAACCACAGAAGATCAAAGATAAAACCACATCGAATCCAGTCGAACTAGCCGGTCTCACAGTTCAGCATTCATCCGATCACAGGACCAGTCGGAGGTCGTCTTATGCAGTAGGCAGACAACTGGAAGACCATCACAGACGACTCATGGCTGCTTGAAGTAGTAAGAAGAGGATACAAACTTCACTTCTCAAAACAACCAAGACTAGTCATCCACCCTACCGGACCCGATTCCAGCTATCAGGACCGAAGTTAATTGCAGCAGAAGTGGCCATACAAAAACTACTTGCAAAAGGAGCTATCAGCATCTTAAGGATCGAGTCAGACACCACTCACGTATTCTACTCCCAAGTATTCCTGGTACCGAAGAAGAATTCTTCAGAGATGCGATTAATCATAGACCTAAAAGTCCTGAACAAAGATTATCTGGAAAAAACACCCAGTTTTCAGATGGAATCTATCAAGAAGTTGAAGAATGCCTTAAGACAAGCAGATTGGATGATAAGCATAGACCTCCAAGATGCCTATCTTCATGTCCCTATCCATCCAAGTCATCGTCGTTACCTCTCCTTTGCAGTCAACGGTCAGAGATACCAGTTCAGGGTACTCCCATTCGGCATATCCATCGCCCCATGGTTATTCACCAGGATTACCAATCCCATCATCGGATTGGCCCA